TTCTCGTTCCCCTTCCGCGCAGCTGTGCAGCCAAATGTAGCACAACACTGCAGACTGGGAGGGTCTGTCCGACAACCGCTCTTGCGGATATGGCTGTGGATAGCAGCAGCACGCGCCGCTGGCACCACGATTGCGTGACGCTCAACTGCTTCATGGCTCACGGTCTACGCAATCGAACCCAAGCTGTCAGGCCTTCCCTGGCACCTCCCACCGCCTCCTCTCCCGTTCGGAGGAAGACCAATTCACACAACGGCGGCTCTCCCACCGATCCCAAATCCGGTCAACACAGGTCCCCTGAGCCCTCCCAGGGTCGACCCTGACTTGTGCTTCTAAGCAGATCCAGCCGTGGCGACGAGACGCCTCCAGGAGGCGCAAGAAAGGCAGAGAACACATGGGAGGGCTGCCGTTGTCTCGGCTGGCCCTCCTCTGATGCCACGACGCTCCTCCCCTCCCCCTCCTCCTCCTCCCGCCTGGCCCCTCTCCCCAAACCTCCCGCGCGTCCAAAGCGCTAAATGTCCGGTGTTGTGTTTCGGGCGGTCGCTTCGCGGAGGGAAAGCACGTGCGACGTGCCAGAAGGACGCGGCACAGAGCGTGCCAATGGACGCGCCAGGGGACCCGCTGCGCAACGTGCAAGGGGGACGGGCCACAGAACCTGCCAGGGAACGTCCGAGGCGACGTGCCAGGGGACGTACGTGTGATGAGCTCGGGACCGCCATGTAAGATATCCTACTGTGTGGGACGTGGTTCCAACTCGCGACCGCCATGTTAGATACACCCTCTGTGGATGGCCTGGACAGGTGAAAGCACGTGGTTCCAGCCTGGTAAGATCACGTTAGATACCCCCCTGTGTGGAACAGACACTTCAAAACCATGGTTCCAACTCGGGAAAAAAAACACGGCTAGATACCCCCCTGGGTGGCCTGGACACGGGGCAGCACGTGGTTCAAGCTCGGGATCAACGTGTCAAATATCCCCCTGGGTGGTGTGGACACGTGAAAACACGTGGTTCCAACTCGGGGCAACCATGTTAGATACCGCCGTGGGTGGCCTGGACACGTGAGAACACGTGGTTCCAACTCGGGACAACCATGTTAGATACCCCCTGGGTGGCCTGGACACATGAAAACACGTGGTTGCAGCTCGGAACCACCATGTTAGATAATGTTAGATACCAAGGGGGAAGTCTGGAAAATCACAAGCCGAAGAAGTTGTGTCAAGTTAATACACATCTGGTGCCGATGTATTGAATTAGCCTGGCTCTTGTGGGCGCCCAAGCGATCAAATCTTAGATACCCGCCTTGGGTGGCCCGCACACGGACAATCGCGTGGTTCCAGCTCGGGACCACCATGTGAGATACCCCTGGGTGGCCTGGACACGTGAAAACACTTGGTTCCAGCTCGGGACCGCCGTGGTATAACCCCCCTGGGTGACCTCGACACGTGAATCAACGTGGTTCCAGCTCGGGGCAATCATGTCAGATATCACCCGTGACGGTTTGTACACGTAAAACCATGTGGTTCCAGCTCGGGGCAACCATGTCAGATACCCCCTGGGTGGCCTGGACACGTGAACACCCGTGGTTCCAGCTCGAGGCTACCATGTAAGATATCCCTCTGGGTGGCCTGGGCACGTGAAAACACGTGGTTCCGACGACGGGCCGCCATGTTAGGTATCCACCTGCGTGGCCTGGAGACGTGGTTCCAGCTCGGGACTACCATGTTAGATACTTCCCTGGGCGGCCTGGCCACATGCCAACATGTGGTTCCAGCGAGGGGCACGCAACGACCAGACTAGATACCCCCCCTGGCTGGCCTTGGCCTGCGAAAAGACGTCGTTCCAGTTCGGAACCACCATGTTAGATACCTCCGTGGGTGGCCTGGACATGAAAACCACGTGGTTCCAGCTCGGGGCCACCATGTTAGATACCCTCCTGGGTGGCCTGGACACGTGAAAACGCGTGGATCCAACTCGGGACTACCATGTTAGATATCCCCATGGGTGGCCTGGACAAGTAAAACACTTGGTTCTATCTCGGAACAAAACCCACAACCTGGCGCCTCACGAGCCTTGACTTGGACTTCTCTCACCACCCCTGCCGCGCCCCCCCTGTAACCAACAGGGCGACCCCCCCCCCCCCTCCCCGCTGGGACGACAGAGCGGGACAAAAAAAGAAGAAGAGGGGACAAAAAAAGGATGAGGGAGAAACAAGTGGAGAGGGACAAAGTACAGGATTTCTCTCGGGAGAGGCCACAACAGCGTGGCGCTGCCGAAAAGGCCAGCAAAATCTACCACCCGGCGCCTCACGAAGGGGCCCGCACCCCCGACCAATCGTACCTTGGACCTCTCTCCCATCCTGCCGCCGCCCCCCCTCTCCCCGCCAGGACGACCTCCTCCCCCCCTTCCCGCCGGGCCGACCGAACGGGAAAAAAGAAGAAGATGGGGAACAACAAAAGGGTGAGGGAGGAAATCAAGGGGGAGAGGGAAAAAATCCCTCGGGAATCGCCACAACAGCGTAACGCTGCCAAGCAAGCCGGCAAAATCCCACCAGCCCTTTGGGCGTGAGTGGTTTAGCGAGCCCTCTCTGTCCTCAACCCCCCTTCTTCCCCTTCGGGGAGGGGTTTACCCCTCCCCCTACCCCCTCCCCCTGGGCCTGGAGAGGGCGCCCCGCGGGTCGTCAGGGGGGTCAATTTCGACTCCTGGGAGGGCTAAAAAACGACGACCCTCACGAGGATTCTGGCCCCGACGGGGGGCCGGAGAAAAAACCCTCTCCTCTTCTGTGAAGCCAAAAACATTGATTTTACTAGGGTTTTGGCCCCATTTTGGCCTTCTGAGGGGGCAGCGCTCCTCTTCCTTCATAGCAAAATCATTGATTTTACAAAGGTTTTGGACTCATTTTGTCCTTCTCAGAAGGCAGCGCTCATTTGCGCTTCTGAGGAGGTCGCAAGAGGCCCCAAGATGGCCCCAAGAGGCCCCCAGGAGGCTCCCAAGAGGCCTCCAAGAGGCCCCCAAGAGGCCCCCAAGAGGCCCCAAGAGGCCCCCAAGAGGCCCCCAAGAGGAGGGAGGCCCCAAGAGGCCCCCAAGAGGCCCCCAAGAGGCCCCCAAGAGGCCCCAAGAGGCTCCAAGAGGCCCCCAAGAGGCCCCACGAAGAGCCCGAACGACTCACACCACAAGGAGGGGCCCGAACGACTCACACCAGGACGAGGCGCCCGAACGACTCACACCACGAGGAGCCCGAACGACTCACACCACGACGCGGGCCCCGAACGACTCACACCACGAGGAGCCCGAACGAGTCACACCAGGAGGAGGGGCCCGAACGACTCACACCAGGATGAGGGGCCCGAACAACTCACACCACGAGAAGCCCGAACGACTCACACCAGGACGAAGAGCCCGAACGACTCACACCACGAAGAGCCCGAACGACTCACACCAGGAAGAAGGGCCCGAACGACCCACACCAGGACGAGAAACCCCAAACGACTCCAATCACGAGGAGCGCTTTCTCTCCCTCCTCCTCCGCCTCGTCCTTCTCCCGCCCCCCCCACAAGGAGGATGTACAAGGAGGCGGGAGGAAGGAGGAACAGAGGAGATATGCGGGGCCAAGCGGACACACGCCTGAAAAACACGACTGTCGGCATGCTTCGCAAGAGTTGCTGCTGTGAGATGGGCTGGTGGGGATACGCGAAGCGTAAAGAATTCACAACCTGGCGCCTAAGGAGCCTTGACTTGGACCCCTCTCACCACCCCTGCCGCGGCCCCCTCCTCTCCCCGCCAGGACGACCCCCCCCTTCCCCCCTCCCCGCCAGGCCGACCGAGCAGGAACTCATAATAATTATCATACTAGTCATAAGACAAATCGTAGTACTACTAATAATAATACTAATAATAATAATAACAAGACGACTAATCATAATAGTAATAAGAAGAAGACGAATAATAAGAAGAACACGAAAACAATACGAATGATAATATTACTAAGAGTGATACTAATACGAATAGTAATACGAATAATAATAATGATAATATCAATAATAATAATAATAATAATATTAATAATACCAATAATACGAATAATAATGATAATATCAATACTAATACTAATATTATTATTATTAATAATAATATTAATAATACTACTAATAATACTAATAATACTAATGCTAGTGACAATCATGATAATAAGAGTATAACACAACAACAAAGGGAGAGGGGCCAACAAAAAAGGCGAGGGAACAAGTGCAAGGTTTTCCTTGAGAGAGGCCACGACAGCGAGACGCTAACAGAAAGTCCCACGAAATCCACAACCCGACGCCTTACGAGGGGCTCGCACCCTTAACCCCCCCTATCCTTGAACCACTCCCCCCACCCCCGCCCCCACCTCCCTTCCCCGCCTCCACCCTCGACCCCACACAAAATCCACCATCTGGCGCCTCCCAACGGGCCCGCACCCCCCACCCCCCTCCCCCCCCGAGAGGGGGGGGGGAGAACAAAAAACATAGGGAAAACATAACAAGGGAAAAAACCGAACGAGACAAACAAAGGGAGAGGGAAACAACAAAAACGATGCCCGCCAGTGCCTCCCACCCATGGGCCGATCTCCCCCCAGCCGTGCCCCCTGACTTGAGGAAAGACATCGACATAACCTTTCTCAACTCCGCGTAGATTTCTTGGACCTGCGCTGGAGCCCCTCCCTGGCGCGCGGAGCGCGCCAAAGGCGGCGCCGCCAGGGTCAAGCGCCGATCCAAGAATTCCGCGCGGAGCTCCGACAAATCATATCTGAGCTGTTTTTCTTCTACCGCTGCCCCTGGCTCCTCCTGGGGGACACCAGTGTACCCATACCGCTACTCCCCGGGCCGTTCCTGGGGTGCATTCTGGCCAGGACTTCGAAGAGCATCCAACCGTGGCGACGAGGGCCCTCCAGGACAAGCAACGGTATCGGCATCTGCTCCTCCTCTGGCCTCCGCGCTCCCCCGTGGGCCCCGCGGCGCCAGGGCGGTCAGGAGTTCCAGAAGTCCTGGCTGCTGGGGTCCTCCACCGCGGCGGGTCCCAAAACCTCCTGGCCCGCGGCGCGCCGTCCCGCGCACGGGGGGGGGGGGGGAGGCGGCGGCGGCCAGCACTTGGCCCAGGAGCGAGCAGTTAGCATTCAGTATGTGGCGAGTCCCGCACGTGGGGGGTGCAGGTCCGAAAAGAGTGACGACGACGACGGACGTTGCGACTGGCTGACAGATCGCCTGTGTTCGCAGGCGTTGGCGCGGCGGCGGTAGAAACGGGGCAGAGGCTGCGGGGCCTCGAAAGGGGGGACCGAACATCGAGGTTCGAGGACCGAAAATCGAGGATCGGATCCAAAATCGATCAGAATAGTGGGCCGGGATCGGCGGGAGGGATGATCGGCGAGCCGAACCGGCCATGCGGTTTCGGGCGCCTCGGGGCACTGGGAGCGGCCGTGCATCAAGTGCGCCTAACATCGTGCTTCGCGCGAATATGTGAAAGAGACGGAGCCGAACCGCGAATCGCGAAGCGTGAATATCTAAACGCCCTCGTGATCGGCCTTGCTGCGCGGAGGGAAGTACCTGACGGAGGTGCCGAAACCAGCTTCTCGCAGCAGATCTCGTGACCCCCTTGCGGATGGTATAGATGAGCCAGTGGAAACGAGAGCCTGTTGGACTCCCTACCTGTGCCTGATTTCTGCGGGTCCCTGGATGCGCAAGACGGAGCGAAAGGAACGGAATCTACTGCTCGACGGTATAATCCCCAATCGGTCCAAATCTTGCATCCGCAACGCGGCGCGTCCCCTCTTCCTCCTCCTCCTCCTCTTCCACCTCCTTCTCTCTTCGCCTTCTTCCCGCCTTCCTCCTCCTTCTCCTCCTCCTCGTCATCCTGTTCCTCCTCCACCACCCTTTTTCTTTAAAGCATGATCGGCCCGCGAATCTGGAGGAGATATCTGTGATAAGGATGCATTTTAGCGCAATTGCAAAAAGAGGCCCCTAGAGGTCAAACGGCAGCGAGTGGTGCATATACACACGCGACACATGCACTATCTCACACCCGTGAAACTTTATCACGAGCTAGCCGGCAGACCGCGCAGTACCGCTGGTCTCAGTCAGCCTCTAGGGGTAGTACAAGGAGTATTCCCATGTTGGGACCACTCAAGTCAAAGGCGGCCAGGACTCAGTCACTCACTTCCCCGATGGGATAGCATTCATCCTGGCCCTCGCCAGTTGCTTCTTGACCTTCTTCAAAATATATTCAGGGTCTGGAGTTACGTCATGCGAACTTGCACGGAAGATCTTAACACGGACATATGTAGGTATATTCTTCGTCAGGCAATCAACCGCCCTAATGCTTGTATCGGTCCATCGGATCTGATCGCAAAGTGCGCGTGGATGTACAATCTCGACTTTGTTCCGCTCCACGAAGCCAAATATCTTGTCATAAACTATTCAAATCGATACTCAAGCGCTTGTCTTCTGTCTTGCCCAGAGATGGTGCTATGAGGTGCTCCTCGAAGCTTTTTGCAATCCGTCACCCATAAGTGTCTCATAGACATGGCTGGTTTGTCTTCCCAGTTGGTTGGTAACTTCTTCCCGGCGCCAAGCATGCCGCGCGCATCCGCGATGGCGGCGCGAATGCGTGCGCCAGGTTCTACACCTCATAAACAAGCCAGGGTCTCTGCTTGTAGTGTAGATGTACTGCTCATTTGATAACATTACTAGCTCAACATATAGGGTGAACGTGATCATTGTTTCCCTCGATGAATCCAGGCCCTGCGAGTCCATTGAATCTAGCCCCATGTGGCCTGGGAGGCTCGATTCTACCCTTGACTATGTCCTCCTCCCCTGCCCATCTGGCGCCAGTTACAAGAAGAACTATCATATCTGGATTCCACTTAACAGCTCCACCTTTGAATTCTAACCCGACGTAAGCGGACTGAGTTGCTTCTTCTAATGCACGGTTAGCTTCCTTGAGATGAAGTGCCTTAGCGTGGCGCGCTGCAGTCTGCAATGTGCTCGCGCGATGCAGTAGCTCAGATTTACACTGACGTGTAACCCGTGACAAAGCACCTGCGACCGATCCAAGCTGTGCTGTCTCGCCCTCATTGCATCTTCGCGTAGGGGGGCTGTCTCTAGGATTGGATGCAGCTTCGATTTTCCCCAATAGTGTCCTTGGTCGCGATGCTCGCAATGAGTTCTGCATCTTAAACTTCTAAGCAGCCATGGCGGAAATTATCCGACTTGACCTCGAGAGTATCAAACTCTGCTAATGTCGAATCGACGACTCTCCGACTTTCATCATCTGCAGCCCGCAGTTTGCCATCCACGCGTGCACCTGACATGCGCGCGATCTCGCCCTTATCATTGTGAATGCTGAACAAAGAAAGCATGATGCGATTCCCCCCCAGACCATGAGCTTCAAACCTTCTGCGAATTTCCTTCCACGAGCCTCGTCCTGCGTCGCGCGTGCCATAGACAGGCGTGCGCGCGACCAGTGCTCCGCCATCCGGTGCTCCATCGAGTCCGTCGGGCGGTGGCCTGAGCAGCATGGGGAGGTCGAGTTCCTGCCTCTGGAAGTACCCAGATGTAATGTCGGCGCACTTGAGCGTCTGCTTTGCACCGGCAGCCCACGATGCTATCAACCTTAGCCCTTCGAATTTGGTGAATCCGCGCGGATGCCCAACGACTCTTCCAGATCTCCACGTAAGACAAGTCTACTCTTGTACTGCGGTGCAACTGGAGTTCCACCCGGTCTACGGAGATGTTCATTCTTGTCACCCTCAATCTATTGCGCAGGTGCCATGCGGTATCTTTCGTCGAGGAAATTTTGCAGCCCCGCGGAATCAATAGGTACGGCGGCGTTGAACTTCCGCCATTTTCCCCCTTCGTCTTGTCTTGCCAGTTGTAAACCGCTTGTAACGTCCTCAGATTCCCGATGGTATGCCAGATTCTCTGCACTCTTTAGCTTCTTCGTAGATTGCGGCTTATGAAGGGTGCGTTCATTGAAGAAGCCGACGAGCGATTCACGTGGCCTAACAACGAGTGATGCTTCTCTACGAGCTAGGAGATCCATGCCCGGCCTCGATGTTCCGGCCCTGCGCATGGCCTCAAGAAGTGGGTTCGCTGGTTCGGGAGCTGGCGCCGAGACAGAATCGGAAACCCTTCTCGTGCTACCGTCGGCATTCTCGACTTTTCTGCGCATCACTTCGTCGTGACTCTGTATACCGTGCGGGGCGTCGTCTAGTGGCGACCTCTGGCGGGGCGCGCGAGTCACCTGTGACGACCTCGACGCGGGCGGCACAGGGACGATCATTCCATCTGACAGTTCATCTCCAGTTGGCGAGATGCTTCCTCTATGAACTCGGGGTCTTCTGGGATGCCCAGCAGCTCTTCCGTCGCCATAGGATGTTTTTCCGCAGAATGCTCCAACGCCCGTGGTTCTGGCAGTCTACGTCGCTCGTCCACGAATGACTGCTGTTGCCCGTCTATAGGTGCATACCTCAACGCCGCCGTCATGGTGCTTAGAGAGATGTTGGTAAGCCAGCGCTTGTCGACAGCCGCGCAGACGGGTGCACCCTCGGTAACAACCCATGCGTTCTTGCCATCGAATCCAACGATGCGAGAGCCAGTGCTTCACTTAGCGGCGGCCTCGCCGTCGGTTGGCCTCTTGCGAAATCATGCTACATCGCCTACCTGATATTCCCCAGCTAGTGGCGTTGCCTTTCGGAGAGCGGCCCTTGCCGTTCTACTCCCGACGTCGTGTTCTGCGACTGCTTTTCTGGCAGACGCCCGGATCGCAGCCTGGCGAGAAAACTCGTCGGCCCCGTCCTCTGCAACATTCGCAAGCACTCCTAAGTCGGAAGCTTCCTCGTCGTCGAATTGACTCCCTGGGACACGAGGCATCTTTCCGAGTGCCCACTGAGCAGGCGCAAATCCGCCGACTCGTGACATCTCATTCTTCGTGTTGTCGACTTCTGATGCAATAGAGAGTGTACCACCTTCTTGAAGATGTTCTTCCAAAGTCCACCATGTCTCTCGGCGCGGCCTATCTGCTCGAGAAACTCGACTCCGGCGTCGCGGAGGTCTATCCCTTGGCTCTTAACCCATTGCAGAAACACTCCTCTGTTGCGCAGTCCACGGTCCGACACCATTCTTTTGGGCTTACCTGCCCATGCGCGCCAGCGTTGCTGAAATGCAGTGAGGCATGCTGGCCTAACTCTCTGAAGAACTCAAGGAATCTCACCAACCTTCTGGGCGTTGGTGGTTTAGGGCGTTTCCTCTTCCACCCAAATGTCTTCCCCTTCGGGAGGGGTTCACCCCGCCCCCCTACCCCTTCCCCTGGACCTAGACGGGGGGTTCCGCGAGTCGTCGGAGCGCCCGCAAAGGCTTCGGCGAGGAAGCCAACATCATTTGTTTTACTGCGGTTTTGGCACCATTTTGGCCCCCCGAAAGGGGGGCTGTAATTCGTGCCCCCCTCTCTCCTGTGATCGATTTCACCAAAGATGGCCCAAAAATGGCCACCGAGGCTCCCAGGGGTGCCCCAAGAGGGCCCCATAAGGTGGCCAGGGAGCCCCAAAAGGCCCCCAGGACGCCCCCAAGAAGCTCCCAAGAGACCCCCGAGAGGCCCCAAGAGACCCCCCAAGGGCGCCCAAGATGCTCCAAGAGGCCTCGGCAATAATGCCGCATCACTGATTTTACCCAGGTTTTGGCCACACGTTGGCCTCTGGGGGGGGGGCTGATTAAGATGGCTCCAAGAGCGCCTGGGGGAGCCCAGGATGACCTCCAAGATGGGTCAAGATATCCCAAGATGTTTCATAATGGCTCCCACGATGCTCCAAGATGCCCCAAGACCGCTCCAAGACGGCTCCAAGTGGCCAGTGGGCTCCCCAAGGAGGCCCCGAAGAGGCCAGAACCCTAGGAACATCTATGTGCTTGGCTTTCTCGCCTTTTCGCTTCCGATGGCCATCCGAGGCCTCAGGATGGCTCCAAGATGGCCCGAGAGGGCTCCAAGAGAGGCTCAAGAGAACCCCAAGACGGCCCCAAGAGCGCCTAAGAGCGCTCCAAG